GCTGGGATTACAGGCGTGAGCCATCGTGCCCATCCCCCACTGCCCTCTTTCTAGGCCTCAGACAAACCTGTGACCTTGACTAAACCTCTACAGGGCCAAACATCCCATTTAAAACCTGTGACCCAGTTTTTACAGAAATGAGTCATATATGTGTGGTCATATACATAGACCATGTGTGTGGTCATATACATTATAAAGTAGCTCATATGGTCTTTCTGAGCTACTTTACAATGCAGAGCATACCTACCCCAGTCGAATCACCTGCCTATCTTTTATGCCCCACACTCCTACAGGGAGAGGAGGAGCAGTGAGAGGGCCAGAAGAGGGAAGGAGAAGGGGTGAGAACTATACTTCTCTGACAGGTTTAATCTGTAACATCCATAAACTTGGCACTTTTGGTTGAGCCATCTGCTAGCCCAGCCTTCTGTCCACCACCCAGAGACACACCTACACCTACACACCGTATCAAGACATCTCAACAGGCTTCCTACATAGCAAGCACACCTTGACCAAGTACCATATATCTTCTTGGCTTGTTTAGGATGCTGTTCATTTGTGAACAACTAAGTCCTTTTTTATATTTATTTGCGTTCATTCATTACCACTGAGAGAAGAGTTCTAGTTGCATCTTGAGGAAGGCTTTTTTTTTTTTTTTTTTTAAGGGTGCATTACTCAGTTTAGGAAATTGTACTCAGTTGAGAAGATTCTCTTTAGCTTATAGACACCAGCCATACACAGTAGGATTTTAGCAAGGATATAATCACTTTCCCAAGAGAATGACTGGCAAGTGGTTTCTAGTCTCCTGGAGGTCTCTGTAGCAATCTTTACTCTTCACCACAAGATATTCCTGGAAACCACATTTGAGAGTGAATTCTCTTTCTCCATCATAATAGTATGAATCTAATGGGGCTCTCACTGGTGTTTGACCAGAGAACCAGCAATGTGGGTTTTACCCAAACGAATTGCTAAAATAAATCTTCAATAACACTCAATCTCCATTATAATCTCGAAGTGAAAAATCTTTCTCCAAGTTCCATGACATGGGCATGAAAGTTCTACGTGTAGGGATTTTACAAAAGTTTGTAGGTAAACCTGTACCCCATCAAACCTACAACTCTCAAGTATCATGCATATAACTTATCCAAATGGATATTTTAGATTTAAAAAAAAAAAAGACTCTTAAAGAATGATCTCAAATAACTTCATGTCATTAATAATCGTCGATCTTTTTATAAGGTTATAAAGACAATTTGAACTGATGCTTTTGTCTTTCCTATTTTGCAAACCAGTTGTACAGAAATAATTCATGGGTCTTACTACTGGACTTAAAGTTAGAACTTTTCTTCTGGAAAATAATCCCCTTTTCAGCACATGAAATTTTGAAACTCTCACCAAGGATCATCATTATGAAGTTTTCATGAATTGGGGTCACTGGAGGGCACCCTCCTGTTCCTCTCTCCTCTGCTTTTGTGTCTTCTCTCACCATTCTTCCTAGCGACACCCCACCTCCACCACCCCTCAAACCCAAGGGCAAGCTTTGATTCAGATGTACCAGTGTTCAAGTCTCTGCCTCAACTTCGATCAGTTGTGTCATTATGGTCAAATGGCTGAAATTTTCCAAGCCTGAGTTTCCTCATTTGAAAGATGGATAAAGTAGTACCCACCAAAGGATTTTTGAGAGACGTTGGTAAAAGATGGCCCTTGACCTAAGGCCTTCTATGTAGTAAATGTCCAGTAACCTGGAATTTTTATTGTTATTAATATGAGAAAAGTAACCTCTTAGAAGTGTATTGAATGGAGGAGGGAGATAGAAAAGGCATATATGAATTATTTTTATTGGGTATGAACTTCAGGACTTCGTAAATACTAGCATAGCAAGATCTCCTTTCCCTTTCTGCATGTTCTCCCAAGTCTCAGCCCAGCACAGGACAGCTCCAGCTGTCCTGAGAGTCTGTGGGTAAACACAGAGAAACCACAAAATTGAAGGGACACAGGCATCTCTCATGTGCCTGACCACAGACTCCTAAAGACATCATCCGTTTGTTGTTGTTGTTTTGGAGGCAGAGTTTTGCTCTTATTGCCCAGGCTGGAGTGCAATGGTGTGTTCTCAACACACTGCAACCTCAGCCTCCCGGGTTCAAGTGATTCTCCTGCCTGGGCCTCCCAAGTAGCTGCAATTACAGGCACTGTGTCACCACACCCAGCTAATTTTTGTATTTTTAGTAGAGACGGGATTTCACCATGTTGGCCAGGCTGGTCTTGAACTCCTGACCTCAGGTCATCCGCCCACCTTGGCCTCCCAAAGTGTTGGGATTACAGGTGTGAGCCACCGTGCCCGGCCCATCATCTGTGTTTTGTCCACTTTTCTGGATCCCTATGTGCCTGGAAGGAGACAAGGATAGACCTATTCTAGTTGGAAAAGAACCAGAGGCCCTCTGCCCTTAAGGATGGCCTCTGGAGAGAACCTGTGACAACAGGAGACACCGTCTGTGTGCTTAATGGTCCATGAAGAGTTTTACTTAAACCAACTCATTTGAGCCTTACAATAATCCTAAAAGGCCTACAATGCTATTGTCCTCATTAACACATTCAGTCAGTTTTTCATTCGACCTATACTTACTGAACACTGTCTATGCGCAGCCACTGCTGGTGAAAACGGTGCACACAGTTCCCACCTTCGGGGTGCTGTTAATCTACTGGGAAAGATCCACAACCAACAAATAAACCAAAAGCAAACATTTAATCAGGAAAATATTTGGCTAGTACATACTGGCCAGGCTGATTGTTAAATATTTGAATACCGTCCCCATACATAATTACAAGTTGTAATTAATGCAGTGAAAGCAATGAATTTAACACTGCAGTGGAGAAGCATGGATATGGGGAACTATTTTATATAAGGAGGACAAGGAAGATGCTCTGAGGAGCTGCCATGAAAGCCAGAACACGAAGGACAGCCCACCTGAAATATCAGAGCAGTTATGACTTCTCTTCCTTGGTTGAGAAAGGCTGGGCCACTCCAAAAGTTACGTAAGAAAATGACAGGAATTTGTCTATATTGAGAAAACAACAAAGAACAAGATAAAAAATGGAAAGGACTATATTGTGAAGAGATGAGTCTCCTGTCATTGGGAACAGTTAAATCTAGATTGGATGAACACATGGCAAAGATCTGTAGGTGTAACTCAGACATCAGATTAGGGTTCCGGGCTGGGCACGGTGGCTCATGCTTGTAATCCCGGCACTTTGAAAGGTCGAGGCAGGTGGATCACGAGATCAGGAGCTCGAGACCAGCCCGGACAACATGGTGAAACCCCGTCTCTACTAAAAACGCACAAATTAGCCGGGCATGGTAGCGGATGCCTGTAATCCCAGCTGCTCAATAGGCTGAGGCTGGAGAATCGCTTGAACTCGGGAGGTGGAGATTGCAGTGAGCTGAGATTGCACCACTGCAACTCCAGCCTGGGTGACAGAGCAAGACTCACTCTGTAAAAAAAAAAAAAAAAAAAAAAAGACTGGGGTTTGGACTAGATGACCTTTAAGACCCCTTTCAAACCTGGGATTATGTGATTCTGTGAAAACTGTATAACTCTGTAAAGCTTTGTTGCCATCATTCATGCTGCCCCAGCTCTATCAGGTCATATAGCAGCTGTTCACCCAGGAACACTTTTTTATGTCAGCTGTTCGGATTCACATTTGAAGGTGGAGAGTGAAGAGGCATTGACACTTAGATATCTAGCTAAGCACGATCGCTTTGGTGTGTATTAGTACCACACCGCACACAGGCAAAGGGGCTGGGTGCTGTGGAACTGTCATAACCCTGTAAAAGACACGGATACAACCAGAACATTACATTTGTGGCCTAGGGGTAGAATCTTTGATGATGTTTGCTTCATTGTTATACCCTTGTAAATTTCTTCCCAATATAAAAATTTGCATGTTAGGTTTTTTATGAACAAACATCAAGATGGGGATGGGAGAGGGACCTTGTAAGCAATTGGTTAGTGTTTTTAACACGTTTGTTTCCTAATTTTCAGTAATTTTGCACGATGGCAGTCAAATGAGAGCAAAAGCATTTCCAAAAACCAGAGATTATTCTCAACCTACTGCAGCAGCAACAGGACAGGACATAGCAAAACCTGTCCAGCAACCAGCTAACCAAGCACCTCACCAAACTTTAGCAGCAAGATTAATGGATGGTCACATCACCTTTCAAACAGCGGCTACAATAAAAACTCCAACAACTACTCCAGTAACTACAAAAAACACTCCAACCACCAGCCCAATTATCTACACCCTGGTCACAACCCAGGCCACATCCAACAACTCACACACAGCTCCTCCACTTACTAAAGTTACAGTCGGCCCCAGCTTAGCCCCTTATTCACTGCCACCCACCATCACACCACCAGCTCATACAACTGGAACCAGTTCATCAACCGTCAACCACACAACTGGGAACGCCACTCAACCCAGTAACCAGACCACCCTTCCAGCAACTTTATCCATAGCACCACACAAAAGCACAACCGGTCAGAAGCCCGTTCAACCCACCCATGCCCCAGGAACAACGGCAGCTGCCCACAATACCACCCGAACAGCCGCACCTGCCTCCACGGTTCCTGGGTCCACCCTTGCACCTCAGCCATCTTCAGTCAAGACTGGAATTTATCAAGTTCTAAATGGAAGCAGACTCTGTATAAAAGCAGAGATGGGGATACAGCTGATTGTTCAAGACAAGGAATCGGTAAGTTGGGGCCACAGGACTATAACACTATCTTCAAAGAGTCTGAGTGGAGATTGGCTTGCTGGGAATGATCATTCTCTACATCCTGTATCTTTACTTTAAATGAAACCAATAGCTGTGAGCTCATCTCTCTCCAAGGTGCTCCATTAAAAGGTGATTATGTTTGAGGATACACATGAAAATAGAAACTAATAGCAACTGTTTGGAGAGAGGAAGGCAAACAAAAATTT